GTACAAGTATAAGCTCCTTAGTTCTAAGGAGATAGCTTCAAAGTCTGGCTCAAAGGTGATAACTTCAAAGCCTGGCTCTAAGGTTGTAGCTTCAAAGCCTGGCTCTAAGGTTGTAGCCTCAAAGTCTGGCTATAAGGTTGAAGCTTCAAAGTCTGGCTCTAAGGTTGTAGCTTCAAAGTCTGGCTCTAAGGTTGTAGCTTCAAAGCCTGGCTCTAAGGCTGTAGCTTCAAAGTCTGGCTCTAATGTTGTAGCTTCAAAGTCTGGCTCAAAGGTGATAATTTTAAAGTCTGGCTCTAAGGTTGTAGCTTCAAAGCCTGGCTCTAAGGTTGTAGCTTCAAAGCCTGGCTCTAAGGTTGTAGCTTCAAAGTCTGGCTCTAATGTTGTAGCTTCAAAGTCTGGCTCAAAGGTGATAATTTTAAAGTCTGGCTCTAAGGTTGTAGCTTCAAAGCCTGGCTCTAAGGTTGTAGCTTCAAAGTCTGGCTCTAAGGTTGTAGCTTCAAAGCCTGGCTCTAAGGTTGTAGCTTCAAAGTCTGGCTCTAAGGTTGTAGCTTCAAAGCCTGGCTCTAAGGTTGTAGCTTCAAAGTCTGGCTCTAAGGTTGTAGCTTCAAAGCCTGGCTCTAAGGTTGTAGCTTCAAAGTCTGGCTGTAAGGTTGTAGCTTCAAAGCCTGGCTCTAAGGTTGTAGCTTCAAAGTCTGGCTCAAAGGTGATAACTTCAAAGCCTGGCTCTAAGGTTGTAGCTTCAAAGCCTGGCTCTAATGTTGTAGCTTCAAAGTCTGGCTCAAAGGTGATAATTTTAAAGTCTGGCTCTAAGGTTGTAGCTTCAAAGCCTGGCTCTAAGGTGATAACTTTAAAGTCTGGCTCTAAGGTTGTAGCCTCAAAGTCTGGATATAAGGTCAAGCGTCAAAGTCTGGCAACAAGGTCATAGCTTTATAGTCTGGCTATAAGGTCGAAGCTTTAAAGTCTGACTATAAGGTCATTGCTTTAAGGTCTGGCTATAAGGTCATAGCTTTAAAGTCTGGCTATAAGGTCATAGCTTTAAAGTCTGGCTATAAGGTCGCTGCTTCAAAGTCTGGCTATAAGGTCAAAGCTTTAAAGTCTGGCTATAAGGTCACTGCTTCAAAGTCTGGCTATAAGGTCAAAGCTTTGAAGTCTGGCTATAAGGTCACTGCTTCAAAGTCTGGCTATAAGGTCAAAGCTTTAAAGTCTGGCTATAAGGTCACTGCTTCAAAGTCTGGTTACAAGGTCATAGCTTTAAAGTCTGGCTATAAGGTCAAAGCTTTGAAGTCTGGCTAGAAGGTAATTGCTTCAAAGTCTGGCTATAAGGTCATAGCTTTAAAGTCTGGCTATAAGGTCAAAGCTTTAAAGTCTGGCTATACTGTCATAGCTTTAAAGTCTGGCTCTAAGGTTGTAGCTTGAAAGTCTGGCTCTAAGGTTGTAGCTTTAAAGTCTGGCTATAAGGTCAAAGCTTTAAAGTCTGGCTCTAAGGTTGTAGCTTTAAAGTCTGGCTATAAGGTCAAAGCTTTAAAGTCTGGCTCTAAGGTTGTAGCTTTAAAGTCTGGCTATAAGGTTGTAGCTTTAAAGTCTGGCTATAAGGTTGTAGCTTTAAAGTCTGGCTCTAAGGTTGTAGCTTCAAAGTCTGGCTTTAAGGTTGTAGCTTTAAAGTCTGGCTATAAGGTCGCTGCTTCAAAGTGTCATTGATGTAGCTTTATAAAATGTACCAGGAACTTGGATTTCAAGGTTGAAACCAGCTTGACTACAGCCTATAACTTGCGACAGGAAATGTTCTGGCAAGTAAAGGCATTTGTATGATAATGACTACCTCAGCCACTGAGTGCTGATTGGTTGATGCAACTATGTGTCTAGCAACACCTACCTAAACATCCGTTGGTATGGAAATGAGATCTTGACCTGATTGTTGTAACTAAGAGTACCACCTGTAAAAACATCTGGAAATCAAAGAAATTCAGCAAACACACAAAACTTAGATCTTTAACTCTTGTGTCATTCCCGTGCTAACTTATGGATGCAAGAGTTGGAAATAAATGATAGCTCTAAATAAAAATTAGACAATTTTGACAGATTTCAGATCCAAAATGCAAATAGACAAAAGATCAAGCAAGATAATGAATCCAATTTTAAAAGAACACTCCGCTGGAACTACATTAGCCATGCACTCAGAATGGATAAGACCAGACTCCCCCATCAAGTCATCATGTGTACACCGGAAGGGTACAAAAAACGGGAAAGACCAAGAAAGACTCTGCATAGAACCATCATCAGGGAAGGCTCAACCATGGGCCTAACAAACATCTATGACCTAAAGCAGGTGACAACAAACCGCTAGTCAAGGACAGCTATGACCTCTTCTCAAAATGAAAGACTACCTAACCACCTGCTTCCAGTTGTTTCCTTCAAGTGACCATGTAAAGTGACATACACACAGGAACCTGCTTCAAGTTGTTTCCTTTTAGTGACCTTGTAAAGTGACATACACACAGGAAAGAGGAGACAAATGGAAGGACAAGGAAAATCCAGTAAAAGAAGAGTAAGGAGGAAAAAAAGAGAGACCAACATGAGGAAGAGGAGATGAAGAATAAGAGGCAGGAGAAGGAAGCAAAGGATGTTGCGGGAAAGAAAAAAGGATCGTGTTAATAAGAGGCAGGAGAAGAAAGCAAAGGATGTTGTGGGAAAGAAAAAAGGATCGTGTTAATAAGAGGCAGGAGAAGAAAGCAAAGGATGTTGCGGGAAAGAAAAAAAGATTGTGTTAATAAGAGGCAGGAGAAGAAAGAAAAGAATGTTGTGGGAAAGAAAAAAGCATCGTGTTAATAAGAGGCAGGAGAAGGAAGCAAAGGATGTTGTGGGAAAGAAAAAAGCATCGTGTTAATAAGAGGCAGGAGAAGAAAGCAAAGGATGTTGTGGAAAAGAAAAAAGCATCGTGTTAATAAGAGGCAGGAGAAGAAAGCAAAGGATGTTGCGGGAAAGAAAAAAAGATTGTGTTAATAAGAGGCAGGAGAAGAAAGCAAAGGATGTTGTGGGAAAGAAAAAAGCATCGTGTTAATAAGAGGCAGTAGAAGGAAGCAAAGGATGTTGTGGGAAAGAAAAAAGCATCGTGTTAATAAGAGGCAGGAGAAGAAAGCAAAGGATGTTGTGGGAAAGAAAAAAGCATCGTGTTAATAAGAGGCAGGAGAAGGAAGCAAAGGATGTTGTGGGAAAGAAAAAAGGATCGTGTTAATAAGGGGCAGGAGAAGAAAGCAAAGGATGTTGCGGGAAAGAAAAAAGAATCGTGTTGACATTCATAATGATGAAATCGAAGATGTAGTTGTGGGGTTGATGACAACAACACAACATAAAAAACAGGAAGCAACAGCAACAATACAAAATATGGAGAAAAATAACTGCATATCAGATGTACATAAAATGTGACGAATGCTAAAATCATGACCTTCAATGATTACCCATAAACAAAAAAGAAAAGAAAAGAAGAAAAGTTGTCAAAGATATGCACAAATTATAAAGAAATGCCACAAGATGTCTTACAGGGTAAATAGCCAGATAAATCTTCCTGATATTTTTTTTCTGCTGTCACTGTCTGTGTGTGTGCGTGTGTTTGTTTGTATGTGTGTTTGTGTTGCTGTTGTTTACCCCCAGCATGACTGTATAATGAGCCATCAACACCCGGTGACACAAAGTGCCACCATTCAGATGAGGATCCCCCGGGCACAAGTCCCAGAAACACTGTTCAACCGGTAGGTTATATTAGGGTTTGCAACTACAGCCAGGGTGGGGCTTTAACAAAAAATTGTGTCCCTCATTGGGAACTTTTTAAACTGTAACAGAGAAGAAGGTTTAAAATTTACAACTGTGCAGTACCAGTGTCAGGTTTAACACTGACTAATAAACACTAAGGGAGCCACCTGCTAATTGGGAAGTTGTGTGTTTAGTTTATGACGAGCCTGACTTTTACCTAAATAACCTTTCCTCTTAGTTCGACCTAGCCTTAAATGGGTACCAGGTAAAGTTCTGAGAAGTAAAGGTGGCCGACAGGTTGCTGACCATATCGCCAACTGAATGCCAACTGGTATATAAAATACAGGTCTAGCTCTATATGCCCTGTACACCTTCTTCTTCTTTTGTCATCTTGTCTCACTGAAACCAGGTTGTAGCCCAGTGTCGTGCCTGTAAGTATTAAAGTAAAGCACCCTTTTTCACGCCTTGAGGCGTTTAGGGCTAGACCTATATTTTTATAGACCAATCAGCACAGGATGGGTGATGTGGCCAGCATAACGCCGGCCGCCTTTACTTTCACAGGACTGCACCCGGTACCCACTCAAGGCTGGGTCGACCTGGGAGCCAAGGTCACTTTAAAAAAAAAGTCCTGCTCCGCCAGGGAGAGAACCCACAACCTTCTGATCCGTGGTGAGCGTCTATCCACTCGGCCACGTCGTGCCTGTACACCTTCTTCTTTTGTCATCTTGTCTCACTGAAACCAGGTTGTAGCCCAGTGTCGTGCCTGTACACCTAAGGGCGGTTTAAAGAGTCCTTACGTGTTCATTGTAGAACTTGATTGTTTTTTTTTTAATGCACACACAGATGGCAATCAAACATGATAAATAGGTACACCTGCTACTCACTATACCACCATTGCTCCGTCATCAGGGAGTGTTCATTAAAAAGTAAGTATGCCTCCAAGCATACTGGGCAAATAGGGCTAGACCTATATTGTATAGACCAATCGGCACTTGGTGGGTGATGCGGTCAACATCACGCAGACCCCTTTAATTTCCAGAACTGTACCTGGTACCCATTTGAGGTTTTAAATTACTTTTGAAAAGCTTGCTTAAAGCCCAGGTTTTGGCAAGACACAGGAGTGTTAAATATACATATACATGAAAATTCTTATTGCAAATGGATGTTGCCATATTAAATAAACAACTGCAGACAACTGAAAGACTGATGAAGATAATTCACGTACAGGTGTCTATAGCCAGGACCACGTAATTTTACGGACGCTCCACACGCTTGCTGGAATCTGCTTGAATCCTTCTCTCATTTTCCAACTTGGCTTGGAATGTCAACTCATCAATATTCAAATTGTAAATCCTGGTCACAATGAAAAACAATATTAAACCGAGACCTTCAAATCCTGCCAGGAAATAAAAATAATAGTCAAAGTGGCACTCATGTGGAGAGCTGCCAGTTTGTGTACCGTTTAAGGTCTGGTCGCATGGTTTCCAACAATTCATGTTGCTGTTCTTTCCATTTGGGAACCACAGTCCTAGCTTGGAGAGTATGGCAACCAAGGAAAAGCCCAAAAAGCTGCCAAATCCACAGAAGAAGTAGTATAAGCCAGTAACTGCTGCTTTCATGGACTTGGGGGCCACCATGACAGCAAACTGCAGACCTGGAGATAAAAGGATCAAATGTCAGTTTCTTTTTTTTTTTAGGTGATTACATTTTTAAATGACTGCAATTTAATATGAACTATCTCTCTCTCTTTCTATCTATCTATCTCTCTCACAGGTAAACATAACTTGGTGGATGGCCATCACGTTGCCCAGTTACACACTGATCAGAAGTGACTCTGTGTATACAAACTAAGTTTTATCGCTTGTAGCTCTAATTTTACTGAGTGGTTGCTTGTCTGGCGAGAACATCAAAAAGAGGAGAGACTTCATTGCTGTGGCCTGTACACCCAATACGCCTCTACTTTTGCTGACTTCCTGGCTGTGGTGAAAATCTGGCACTGGTGCAATGAATCCATCACCATCTTTAGACTAGAGTTCTTCAACCATTTTTAACATTGGGACCAGAAAAATGGGCCAAATACTTCACAGATCAGCTGAAGAATAATACAGAAACAAAAACTAACCAACCAATAAATTAGCAAACCAGTGAATCAGCTCAACAATCAATCAATCAACTAACCAATCAATCAACTAACCAATCAACAAAGAATGCATACATCAAACTTGCCATGTCATACTCACATGCAACACTAGCAAAGACTTCACTGAATCCAATCAGGGTATACTGAGGGATCTGCCACAGAACTGTCATGTCTGCTGCATGGTACAGGGTGTTTCCTGCAATTATTCACCAGTGTCAGAATACATTTCTATAGAATGAAGTCAAATTTCTTGTGTCAAATATACTCACGTACACATATACAAAACATGGCTGCTAATGGCTTATACTGATGGCAACTGTAATAAGGTTCAGATAATATACTGTAATAATAAAAGATTGGGGGGGGGGGGGGGGGGGGGGGAGGAGGGGTGTCATTGTTGAGTGGTTACTCTGTTTGCCTGATGCCCTGAAGGACATGGGCTTGTTTCCGGACTATTTAGTTTGGTTCAGGCATGCAGCTTTTTATTTTGCGTGTGTCTGTTAATGGATGGAGATCCCTGCAAACTGTCACTGTAGCTAAAGAGTTTAGCTGTGTGAGACATTCATGGCTGGTGGCGAATCATTCTCTGTGGACATGGCTATATAAGATATTCGTGACAAGCGGTAAATCATTCTCAGTGGCTATAATGAGACTGTCTGTGGCTAAAACCCTGTGCAGTGAAGTTGATAAACTTGAGTCTGAACGTTTCAAAAGTTGATAAACTCGAGTCTGAACCTGTCAAAAGTCACGGATGAATCAATGAAGACAGATATTGCCAACAGCTTTTGATGTATTTTACTTTACACAAACAGACAGATCAGAGATGGATGGATGCAGATAAACAGACAAATAATGCCAATACCTATTTGTTGAGGAATGTATTTCTGATAGCAAGTTTCATTTTTGTCCGGATGCAGGGCCTTCCACCGGAACTGTTCCACAATTCCTGCAGCCACCATGGCGGCCGCAGCAAACAACATCCCCAGAACCATCCGCTTGGCAAATGTGAAATGGTAGCCAGCTCTGGACATCCGTGGATAAATTATCCGGTCAAATAATGGCAGAAGAATGATTACAAAAACAGCATCGCACAGAGAAAACCACGCCACAGCCAACTGAAAATAGATGGAAACATGTCCAGTGTTAACCACTGCTAGTTGTTACAGCATTCTCAGGCACGATTCACTCACAAGATCCCATTCTAATAAGTATATTCATCATCATCATCAGTTTCCATTTTTGCGTTAAACATAGTGGGCAGGAACAGTTTGCGATCCATTACTTGATGGGGGGCAATAGCTGATGTCATTCTGTGATTGATGTAAAAGCTCTTCAATGTCATGTCCATCTTCTCCCAGGGTGAATTCTTGCTTTCACTTTGGATCTTTTCATTTTTAGTGCCTGTGTTGGTAGTTGATAATATAATATTTTCAGAAAATACAATAAATTGCCCTTTGGATCCCCAGAGCCAACTGTGGGGGGAAGAGGGAGAACAGAGCCACTGCCTCTAAACAAAAAAAAAAAGGTTACCTGCGTATCCTTGACAGGACATTGCAGAACTAGCCCCAGCACTTTTTTGCTGTTGTCGTTTGTCCAGGCAAATTATACGATTAAAATTTTGCCACTGCTTTCTCGATAACACTGTAAAAACCAACACAAGGCCTGCAGCTGGGATCGAACCTGGTACCCCGAAGCATGTTCACAGCGCCTAAGCCACCTCTAAACAAGCATATAGTAAAAACTAGTTAACAGTTTGTTGAAACCGGATGCTGGACTCGACGGCATCCATGATATTGAAAGGAGTGTACAGGAGAGAAGAACAGAATGAACAAACAATCTTTATTTTCCCAAAATGTGCATGCAGATGCGTCTGACACTCGGCCCTTCCAAACACCCTTCTTTCACACATCTGTTGTATTTTATCTCTAAAGCAACAGAGCAGAATGGACCAGCCTAGGAGCCTTGTGTGATGTATAATGGCAAGATAGGATGATTTCTTCCTTTTCTGGGTCTGTCCTTAAAAAGGCGGTTGGCAGGCTGTATTGTTATTCATAGCTATGCTGCATAATCAGGGTCTTTTAAGACCAATACATCTATAGTGATGGATCATTAAATCAGATATGGTGTGCCAAAAGGTGCAGCCCAGCTGTAAACCACAACATGCCACACACGCATTTCAGAAAATGAAGATGACAGAAGATGTATAATAAACTAACAATTGTTCACGCCTGTCTGCCTGTACTTCATGGACACTAAAAAAACAAAGATAGAAAGGAGGACAAATTGACGTGGTTACTTTTTAGCATATGAATCAGGCCAGGGACACTAAGAGGATCAATAATCAAGTACTGCAAGAGGATCAATAATCAAGTACTGCAAGAGGACAATAAATAAAATGCTAGAGGATGATATATAAAGTGCAAGATACATAATTACATTACTTTGGTTATGTTATCAGAAAAGGGTCTGGAGAATATTGCAACAAACTGGAAAATTGAAAGTATGAGACCGAAAAAAGCTGCATGGTTCACAAAGTCAAACAATGCTGAATGGTCTGATATTATCTGACTGATGCAGACAATGCTGGATTGTCTTAAATGATCTGACAGAGGCAGACAATGCAGGATTGTCTTAAATGATCTGACAGAGGCAGACAATGCTGGATGGTCTGATATGGTCTGACAGAAGCAGACAATGCTGAATGGTCTGATATGGTTTGACTAAGGCAGACAATGCTGATGATGGTTTGACAAAGAAGACAGACAAGGCTTGATGAACTGAGGCAGACGACGTTGGATGGAACGACAGAGGCAAACAATGCTGGATTGTCTGATACGGTTTGACAGAAGCAGACAATGCTGGATGGTCTGACTAAGGCAGACAATGCGGATGATGGTTTGACAAAGACAGACAAGGCTAGATGGACTGAGCCAGACAATGTTGGATGGAACAAAAGAAGAAATCAATGTTGGATGGCTTCACAGAGGCAGAGGCTGGCTCCTCATGAATGAGAGAGTTTTAGCTACTCAATCCAATCAACCACGACCACACACAAAATCCATTAGAAAAACAAAGCAAAGCTTAGTTTGTACAGGGTGAGGGCATTTGCTCGACATCTACCAAATTCAGTGAGGGCAACTATAACAACACAGGTGTGTGTCAGCAGGTTCCTTTTCCTGTCTGAGCTTAAAGGCCACCTGCCCAAGTTTTACCTACAAAGTGTACAGGTTCCTTTTCCTGTCTGAGCTCAAAGGCCACCTGCCCAAGTTTTACCCACAAAGTGTACAGGTTCCTTTTCCTGTCTGAGCTTAAAGGCCACCTGCCCAAGTTTTATCCACAAAGTGTACAGGTTCCTTTTCCTGTCTGAGCTTAAAGGCCACCTGCCCAAGTTTTACCTACAAAGTGTACAGGTTCCTTTTCCTGTCTGAGCTTAAAGGCCACCTGCCCAAGTTTTACCCACAAAGTGTACAGGTTCCTTTTCCTGTCTGAGCTTAAAGGCCACCTGCCCAAGTTTTACCCACAAAGTGTACAGGTTTCTTTTTAAAAGCATAAATCCTACTGAGGATGCAACACATGTCCTACAATGTGCAAGGCTGTTGCAATACTGACCAGTCAGTGGCATGTCCTACAATGTGCAAGGCTGTTGCAATACTGACCAGTCAGTGGCATGTCCTACAATGTGCAAGGCTGTTGCAATACTGACCAGTCAGTGGCATGTCCTGCAATGTGCAAGGCTGTTGCAATACTGACCAGTCAGTGGCATGTCCTACAATGTGCAAGGCTGTTGCAATACTGACCAGTCAGTGGCATGTCCTACAATGTGCAAGGCTGTTGCAATACTGACCAGTCAGTGGCATGTCCTACAATGTGCAAGGCTGTTGCAATACTGACCAGTCAGTGTAGTCTGACAAACCTGTCAAACACGGGAGCTATGTGTGGCAGGACTTACTTGTGGATGGTTAACCTGGTCAGTGCTGTTGTCTGCTGCTGACTGATTCACTGGCCCACCTCCAAAGAACAGTCTCATGTTGAGTCCTTGAAACATGAATGTTGTCTGCATCTGTGAGATATATATCGGCACATATCAACCGTCTCCACAACAAAGGTAAGGTAAGGTGAGGTAAGGTCAGGAGATGTGAACCAGCGTCACTGCACATAGTTATAAACCACCAGTACGGAAAGCTGATAAGAATTGTCCGCCTGTGTCGCTGTTCGCATGTAACTCTGGAGCTACAGCGACGTTCCTCCATTTACCCCAGAGTGTCACTCTGGTACCCATTACCTAGAGGCTTGGTGAACCCCGGGAGCCGCCCAGTTTCGAACACCGATTGTGGGTTGCAGCGAGTCGCAGCTGGATTTGAAAGTGAGCCTCTTATCGACTGCGCTAACTTGGCTACACAACAAAGGTTGGCTTCAATGGATCTGCTATATGATCTTCTCTTTGTTTGATAGTACATTTTCTCAGACTGCTGTTCGTCCATCACTTGATGTTGTCCACCTCTTGCTTTCTTGCACTCGACCTTTCCCAGCAGAATATTTTTTTAAAGCGTGTTATGACTTTTAATGTGGCTAAAATATTTCTACTGTGTCTTTTTTCTTCTTTGAATAATTCTCTTATAATAACTTCTGTACTGGACTAGTTTTTTCCCCTATGAAACACAACCTATTCTTCTGTATATTAACACTTCCTGAGACTCAGTTGGATTTTCTAGCTGCATGTTCATTGTCCAAGTTTCTGCACCATACAGGAGAGTTGTCAGTTTCTTATATTAGAATGTCAGTTCAGCATTATATGTGAAAACAAAAGGTAGATACCTGAAAATACACAAGCCAGTAGGGCACCATCACAGCAAAAACTGCCAGGATCATTCCCAACTTCCTGACATCATCAACTAGAGAGTTGTGGAACACGCCCCCATAACGACGTTTGGCGTAATCCAGGAATTTTATTTTTCTCTCAGGTACGTGAGCTTTATCAGCATCTGGGTAAGAGCTAAGGAGTTTAAAACACAACAGAGTCATCCTTCTAAGTCTATCTATATTCTCTCACAATTCTAGGTGCACTGAGTTCTTCTGTACAGAATGTGTGGCAAAGTCTATCTATATTCTCTCACAATTCTAAGTGCACTGAGTTCTTCTGTACAGAATGTGTGGCAAAGTCTATCTATATTCTCTCACAATTCTAAGTGCACTGAGTTCTGTACAGAATGTGTGGCAATGAGCAAGCGAACTGTGAAGTTTGATTTGGTATGGTTGTATAGCAGTTGTTTTTAATACAGTTCCTCATGTTATGGCAACACTTTAATACAGATACTCATGTTGTGGTGACCCTTTAATACAGTTCCTCATGTTGTGGTGACCCTTTAATACAGTTCCTCGTGTTGTGGTGACCCTTTAATACAGTTCCTAATGTTGTGGTGGCCCTTTAATACAGTTCCTCGTGTTGTGGTGACCCTTTAATACAGTTCCTCGTGTTGTGGTGACCCTTTAATACAGTTCCTCGTGTTGTGGTGACCCTTTAATACAGTTCCTCGTGTTGTGGTGACCTTTTAATACAGTTCCTCGTGTTGTGGTGACCTTTTAATACAGTTCCTCGTGTTGTGGTGACCCTTTAATACAGTTCCTCGTGTTGTGGTGACCTTTTAATACAGTTCCTCGTGTTGTGGTGACCCTTTAATACAGTTCCTCGTGTTGTGGTGACCTTTTAATACAGATACTCATGTTGTGGTGGCCCTTTAATACAGTTCCTCATGTTGTGGTGAACCACAACCATAAAATTATTTTCGTTGCTACTTCATAACTTCAATGAATAAATGTTTTCCGATGATCTTAGGTGACTCCTGTGAAAAGGTTGTGTGACCCCAGAGGGGGCGAGACTCACAGATTGAGAAATGCTGTTGTAGATGATTAACTTAATCACACCCAAATGGGTCTGACTAGCTGTAGGTCTGACTAGCTGTAGGTCTGACTAGCTGTAGGTCTGACTAGCTGTAGGTCTGACTAGCTGTAGGTCTGACTAGCTGTAGGTCTGACTAGCTGTAGGTCTGACTAGCTGTAGGTCTGACTAGCTGTAGGTCTGACTAGCTGTAGGTCTGACTAGCTGTAGGTCTGTCTAGCTGTAGGTCTGACTAGCTGTAGGTCTGACTAGCTATAGGTCTGACTAGCTGTAGGTCTGACTAGCTGTAGGTCTGACTAGCTGTAGGTCTGACTAGCTATAGGTCTGACTAGCTGTAGGTCTGACTAGCTGTAGGTCTGACTAGCTGTAGGTCTGACTAGCTGTAGGTCTGACTAGCTGTAGGTCTGACTAGCTGTAGGTCTGACTAGCTGTAGGTCTGACTAGCTGTAGGTCTGACTAGCTGTAGGTCTGACTAGCTGTAGGTTTGACTAGCTGTGGGTTTGACTAGCTGTGGGTTTGACTAGCTGTGGGTTTGACTAGCTGTGGGTTTGACTAGCTGTAGGTCTGACTAGCTGTGGGTCTGACTAGCTGTGGGTTTGACTAGCTGTGGGTTTGACTAGCTGTGGGTTTGACTAGCTGTGGGTTTGACTAGCTGTGGGTTTGACTAGCTGTGGGTTTGACTAGCTGTGGGTTTGACTAGCTGTGGGTTTGACTAGCTGTGGGTTTGACTAGCTGTGGGTTTGACTAGCTGTGGGTTTGACTAGCTGTGGGTTTGACTAGCTGTGGGTTTGACTAGCTGTGGGTTTGACTAGCTGTAGGTCTGACTAGCTGTAGGTCTGACTAGCTGTAGGTCTGACTAGCTGTAGGTCTGACTAGCTGTGCTTCAAGTACTATCCAATTTATAGGTTCTGGAAAGATTGAGTGAATAGAGAATTACTGAAAACATTAAAAAAAAAAAAAAAAAAAAAAAGAAAGAGACAACTGAAATATCTGCCCATTTAAAAAAACAAAATAATCTTTTAAAAATCATGCTGGAGGAAAAGGCCAAGGACAAGTGAGTAGGTGGTAAACAATGATACAACAAGGGGGATGACAAAATGAAGAGATAGACAGACAGCAGCAGGAGAGAGTGTACAAGCAAGACGAGAGAGACAACATGTCAGACATGCATTGCAGCCACCATCCTTGTAGAGACGGCACCAGACTGACTGACTGACTAACTGACTTAAAGCGCTGTGCTGTTCTGACATGACCAAAACAAACTCCACAGAATGTTACAGAAGACTATCCAGATTTAGTCAGTCAAGGATGAAATCTGTCCCACACAAGTGATCCCCCAAGTCAAATTTTGGGGACTAGTGAAGAACCTCCGGCACATTAATGGGAGTCCAGTGACTGAGCAGAGACTCAAAAGATGTTGATAAGTGTAGAGCAGCTGAAAAAAGACACCTTCATACATGCTATAATCTCCTTCTAAAGATCATACATTGAGAATCTCACTCTAATTCAAAGACACACAGCACAACCTAGAATGAAAATATATTCCTTTGTAAATCCAGTCCCAATGCATCAAATGTTAATGTAAAAATTGACAATACATAAGAGGAATATAAACCATTAAAACTGTCTAATCTTGCATGTAGTGCTTGTGGAGCATAATTCAGCAATCCCTTCAATTGTCCCCTTCTAGCAAATTTCAGCCGAATAGTTTAAACAAAAATATTTTTTTAAATAGATCTTATTCAATTAAAATACCTGTCTGAGTTTTTAACACTCTGCTGTAGTTTCAGATATTCTCGTCTGTTGCGAAAAGCTTCTCTCATTATCCTGAATATGTTTGTGAGGACACTACCATCAGGTGGTCGGCAGAGATAGTAGGGACTACCTGAGCGAAAAATGTTTCAAAGAGGGAGTTACTTCAAACAGGAAAGCACAACCTTTACAGCACCAGCAAGGATCTTCATGCGGGTTTATTTAAATAACACGTTATAAACACACCTTTTCTGTGTGGTTAGCTTTTCTAATTTTTGTTTTCTGGCTGGCTATTTTCAGTGCCAGGTGCCAATGATCTTTAACCATATCGCCTCAAGAAGGCTAAATCTGGTAACTTCCAGATATTACAGCCCGGTAAATGCTGATACATCACCATTTCTGCAGCCCCCTGTTCTGGAAAAGCATAGTTAAATGCCACTGGTTCTATGTGTGTCTGCATACCGTTCAAGTGGCCAAGATGTGGATATGTTAACTAAGCAAAAACACTTGGATGGGTTTGCTTGTAAGCCCAAACAATTTTTAAGTCAGGTTGACTTCACATTTTCCTGTGAGCCTCAGTGGTAGAGGTCATGGAATGAGTCACCCAATAATAATTATTTTATGCCCCTGGGAACGTATTTCATTTAATGTTTCACTCTGTTCTTGTTTAATGATTACCCCTTTTATACAACTGTGTATATTTCAATACAATAATTTTTAAATGCAGGTGAATAAACTTTTAAACAGTTCATTTGTTAACTAGTGTTGCTGATTTTTAAAAAGGACTTTTTTTTCAGAAATGTTGACGACTTTAAAATGCAATTTTAGCATTCAACGGTGGAAAAGGTTAACACTGATACTGTGTACACACTTGCCATCTGAGTTGTTACCCTTGTCTTAGAAGTTTAGGTTTTGACCCACTTCCCCAGCGTCAGGGTGAAGTATGCCCTCCATATCCCCATGTTGTAAACATGCAAAAAGCTAAGACTGCTGCTGAAAGACACCCTAGTTTAGTCATGCAAACACATTATGCAGTACATTGCAACAAAGCTCTCCTCCATTCCCAGCAAGGCCTCCTGAAATGCTTCCACCAATGGTTCGATGCTAGGGCAAAACTGCACAACCCCAAACGAAATGTTTTAAAGGCATTAGGGTTTCGAGCTTCCATGTGAGCCACTTTGCATATCCTGGCCACAGGCTGGATACTTTGTGAACAAACCTTGTACCCATTAGCATTCAGCTGAGGACCTCCCAGAATAACCTGAAGGAGGAGATCCTAGTGGATAGTTTTACACAGTAAATGTGGTTCAACATGAGTTCTTCAATCTGAGTTCAACACATAAATCAATCAACTAAAAACTCACCTGCGAGGAAGATGGTGGCAGAGATGCCCACACAGATACAGCAGATGATAAACCCATAGAGAAACTGGTATCGCTGTTCCACATAAGCTATAATGCCAAGTCCCAGGAAACTGCCAATGTTGATGCACCAGTAGAACCAGTTAAAGAAGCTGAGCTGGGTTTGCTGGCTGGCTCGAATCAGCTGCAGGGTTCAGATACAAACATCAGGTATTTAGCATCATAATATCAGCAACCCTGTATGGGTTCCAGAAGTTTATTTGGGTCTCTGGGGTGGGGGAGGGGTATGAGAAGGAAATGGTTGAGGCATGGCAACAGAGGAGATGGAATGGAGGAGTTTGTGTGGGGAAATATAACAGTAGGCGGAATATAGATGTTAGCCATGTATGGGAAAATAGAAAAGAGAAGATGGAACACAGGTGTCAGCCACAAGTGGAAAAATGGAGGATGTGGAATGAAGATGTTAGTCATTTGTTGAGAAATATAACAGAGAAGATGGAATACATGAGTTAACCATGTGTGGGGAAACACAGGAGACAGAATAGAGGAGTGAACTATGTGTGGGAAATATTAGGTGCGAGAGGCACTTGAACACAATGATAGATGTCTGTGGCTGCACAAGAAATAAAAGTATAAGGAACATCCACTTCATCAAAATATTAGGCAACATAAAGAACTAAAAAAAATGTGACTGTCGAGGAATCTGTGTCACTGGAACAGCTAGAGATGACCTTCATTTTTATGTGAATGGTGCCAGACTTCCAGGAGTAGACAACTCGACAACAAAATGATACTTTAAACAAAAACGTGAATATTACCTGATCAGAACCAAATGGGCAGATGTTAGCTTTCAGCATACCCGCTGCGATGGCAACCAGTATCAGAATTATGAAAATCAGCCAGGCGCACGACTCCCCGAACATAGTCACATTTGAGTTTCCTAATGACGTATTACAGATAGGTGGCAGCTGCGTATGCTGAGTGTCCGTAGACACGGCTAGAAAAGGCAGCAGAATATAACCACACAGATAAATCACATAGGCCAAAAGAATGGTTCTGAAACGGCCCAAAACTGAATCTGAAATCCAGCCTCCAAACAGGGACATGATGTAAGTGATGCCAAAGAAGAAGAATGTTGCACAAACAGCGTGGTAAATTTTCCAGCTGAACGGCTTCAAATTCAAAAACACGACCAGGTTTCCCACAACACCATAGAAGACCATTCTTTCAAACACAACAGAAATCAAAATGGCACCCAGCGGCAAGTTGATCTTCCAAGAGCTGTCTGTGTCTCCATTCAGAAGTCTAGAAATGTGCAGCACATCCTCGCCGGTGGCTTCGGGAACAGTCTGTCTGCTGCTGTTATCCACAGGAGGGGTGGATGCAGAGGTCAAGTTGGATCTTCGATTCCAAGAAGGATTTACTTTGATGAGCAGCGGTCTAGTCTCCTCGTTGGTCATGATGCACAGTTGAATCTCTAATGGGGAATTCCACTGCTACAGAAACATAGTGCAGATCAGTCTGTAAGAAACATAAATACTTCACTTTATATGTTACCTTTACAAAGATCATAACTGAAGATTGGGACTGAGTCTTTAGAGCAAGGGTGAGCACTCTAAACGTTTTTTGTTTGTTAATTAACTCCATGGGCTAAATTTAGAATTATCTAGCTAGTTGCTGACCACATAGAAAAAAAAAATTCTTTTTATATGTAAAACCTAGATTTCCTCATAATGCTTTATTTTTGTGAGATGATCTAAAATTATAATCTCACTTAGCCTCTGGCCAGACACACGCACACACTGAAGCCCTTTTATATATTCCTAAATGTGTCTGTTCAAAGAAAAAAAATGGTTTTCATCTTATATTTTATTATCCAAGTCCTCTGACAGACACTGTCTTCTAATATCAGTTTGTCTGACGGACACTGTCTTCTAATATCAGTTTGTCTTACGGACACTGTCTTCTAATATCAGTTTGTCTGACGGACACTGTCTTCTAATATCAGTTTGTCGACAACCAATGTTTCACCAGCATGATTCAAGGTTGATGACACTAGTTTCTGGTTATCACTTCTTTTAAATGTTGATATTTGGATTTTGTCTTTCTGCATACAAATGTATGTTTTTGTTTTGAGCAATTTTGTGAGCTCAAGGATCCGCTTCGCGGGCCAGTAAAAGTTACTATTAACTATACACTTAATGATTTTTTCTGTTCAGGAATAGCTTTCTTAGCCTCTCATTAATTAATTCACCAGTTCCCAATGTTAGATTAACTCCTGCTAGCCTGCTTGTGTTATGTTAACTCATTTTTTATTTCTTTTTTTTTGTTGAGTGACCACATCACACGAGATTTAGGGAAATCCTATATTATAGGTGGGGTTGGGGTAAGAGTTAGCAGTAGTCGCAATTCAACACTAACCCAACCCCACCTCTAATAAATGATTTCCCTAAATCTTGTGTGATGTGGTCACTCAACACAAAATAACAAATTTTTCTTCCTCTTTTATTGTCTCAATGACACCAGCTTGTAGCCTAGTGTCATGGTTTTTCTGTGCTTGTCTACTGCTTTGCACTTCTCAGGTGGATTAGGTGATTTAAATAACAAGAAAGTTAATTCATTAACAGGCCATAAGACTCCAAGATTGTTACTTCAATTTACATAACCAATGAGACAGCAATGTGCTGAAGATAAAAAGTAAAAAACTGATTGATACTTAAACTGTTAGTTAAACATGTATTTAGTTGCAGCTGAGCAACAATATTATTCAATATAGGCGGTACATCAAGTAAATAACAACAATAAAGGAACAAACAGAGAGCTTACACTACACTGAGCTAGAGGTGAGGTTGAAAATATTAAGATTCTCTGGCCGTGAGATAAGAGTTCCTTAGGCAGAAACAGTTACTCCTGGTTCATAACTACTCCTCCACAACACAGGTAATAACTAGAAAGCCAACAATAGTCAATACTCATTACACTCATACACATGAATGATTATGTATACATTACTATATTAAGTAAAATCTAATTGAAGGAATGCCAAGTCAGTAATAACTAATAAAAAAGCTAAATATATCATTTATAATTAAAACACAAAATACGACTAGAAAGTAAGCTCAACGCCAGGAATGGGAAATGGACGCATACAAACACAACTGAACGTTCCGACCAAAATGGTTATTAACGGAGTTCTAAATTAGTAAATACAGCACAGCACTCCGCTGATAAAGACTTTGTTCAAAAAAGAAAACGTTCGGTGTGTTTATGTGCGTCCTTTTTTCTTCAATTCCTCCGCCTTTGAGCTTTCTCTCAAATTTTGTGTTATTTCGTTAATTTAGAATTTCTTGCAACAGAATGAGAATCCAATGAAATTGAATCAGCTTGACTGCAATGACCCTTATTTACATAATAATATTAATATTAATTTACATCTGTATTTCGTATCCGAATAGTGGTTAACTCAGTCGCTGGGTGTCAATGTAAGGTCTTGAGACAAGACAAAACTAGAAGGGTTCCAGCATGTGCTGCCCAGAAACTGACCTGAGTACCTGAGAATCAACAGACAGTCAAGGAAGTAATCAACATCGAGACCCTGCAAGTCATGTGACTGGGATCATGTGACCTCCCACCTGACTGCCATCATCATCAAGTGATGCCCCAGTTGAGAGATAATTTTTTCAAAGGGTAGGAAATTATTTTAAGTTGGTTGCGTATCCGTTACAGGACGTTGCAGAACCAATTGTGTGGGTTTTCTAAGCAAATTTACGTCCAGCAGTTTGCCATTTCTTCCTGGACGGTAGGCTTTCTTGAGACCTCTGTCGAAACAACGCAAGGCGCATGACCTGCAGCTGGGATTGAACCCGGCATTCCGGCATTACGAAGCGTTCGCATCGACTTAGCCACAGAGCCGATGTAGGAAATTATAGGGAAGAGAAAAAGGGGTAAGAATTAACAAATAATTTATGTCAGTTTTACAAAATCTATCACAATGAACAAACAAAGACAGACCCTTGAAGGTGAAGAGATAATGACAGTCATGGATTTTCTCTAGTTTCTGTCCGGAGCTTTCCTTGTACACACATCCCCCGTCTAGATTATGTATTAGTTCTTCACTCATGGAGGCGTCGGGGCGTCAGGACAGGAAGAGATCTCTGGAACTGGCCCTTTGTTTAAACTACTCGTCGGTGTCTCTGATATTTCTGCGGTCCATCGTCTGCGTGGTCGACCTCTGGCTCTGTTACTGCTGTATCTGTATAACAATACTCTCTGCGATGCCCTGTCTGATGCAAATCTTGTTACATAGCCAACCCATTTCATTTGTTCAGTTTACAGTGCTTATTTCAGACCTGGTTTTCTTTGGTGGCCACCTTGAACAATAAAATTGCTTCTTCACACTCCCTTTCCAGCTAAAAAAAAAAAACACACACACACACACACTAACTCTCCTCCATCCCCCACTCCATCCCAATCAGCAACATGGAACAAGGAAGACAAATAACGATAACATGCACGTGACAACAAAAACAACAGAGTTATCTTTCTTGGCTCCTAACTGCTTTCTAACACTCCATCGAATGGGAGAGATAGCAGGCTTGAGTTGGTCAAGATTGCAATTTCTATCTGTTCGCCTTAAAAAACTTGACTTGGGTTCGCAGGTCAGCCCATCGTATTGATGGCTACCAATGAGATGAAGAAACATGGCTGCCCATCACATCTGGCAAGGAAACCGAGGATAAAGAACCTCCAGAAATCAGACCACATGTATAACTCGTTGTCTTCTTGTAGGATATCATTTTTCGTTATTTTGATGCCCCACCCTGGTTCTTGCCAGGGACAGCAATATAGCCAGGCCTTGAATGTGGCCTAACGGCTGATCTCCACCTCTCCACGGGTGATCCTCATCCGCATGGTGGCACTTTGTGTCATTGGGTGTTTATCGCTGGTGTGATGGCCAGGTGGGGTAGAATTTACTACTACTACTAGACCACATGTTTGGTTTATCATCATTATGTGCCGTACAGACAGGCAAATATTTTCGTGTTTAGAGATCTCTCACGATCAACAAAATTACGGATCAGTACTGTGTTCTTGTCCTGCCAACACTATGTGGCAAACAAACCAGATATGGATCTCATTTCCCCAACCACCTGGCTCTGATTCTATAGTCTGCTTGTGGTTCCTGAGTTAACATATTTAGTTCTCACCCCCCCCCCAACCGTTACCCCCCCCCCCCCTACCCCCTACACCAACCGTAAACCCCCCCCCCTTCCAACCAACCGTAAACCCCCCCCCCCCCCACATACACGTCTCTGCTATCCAGGTCTAATTGCTGCAATCAATTTGTACTTTTTAATCTGTCTCTGATGTCTTCCTAGTTTTCTTGTCTCTGTCACATGATGATACGATTAGCACTTTCTGTAGAACTCACGCATCATATTTGTTACGGTTATTCTAACAACTATTCTGCTTGCTGTCCAGTCTCCACACTTATTACCCCAGTACATATTTTACACGATACATGAATACTCTTCGCTTCACTGCAGCCAAAATAAATTCTTGTGATTTAGTTCTTCACCGGCATAATCTGAACCGGCACTGAGAACAAACTAGTTTTTAACCGGCAAGATATGAACCGACTTGGAGAACAAACTAGTTCTTAACCAGCAAGATATGAACCGACTTGGAGAACAAACTAGTTCATTAGCTGGTTACACAGCGGAAAGACAAGGCAAGCCCCAAACCAGGTCCGGCTGTATAAATAGAGAAGGCCGTGCCCCAAACAAACTAATATGTGTGTTGTAACTCTCCTAGTGAGTCCCACGCATCGCGTGATGTGTTGTACCTCACATGTGGTGTTGTAGGTTTTATGTTATATTAGGATAAAGACATACACCTTCATGTGCAAAATAAATGGTATGAAGGGCGACGTCCAACTGACAGGTTCAGGCAGCATATTTCAAATGTCACGGATAAGTGAGTGACAGGTACCCCACCAGGACATCACACAAGCGATACACACCCGGTGACACCTCGCCACCATGCGGATGAGGATCCTCCGGAATAGGTCCCAGAAACCTCGTTCAGCCCACTGGCTGGGTTAGATTAGGACGTCCCGGCAACAGCCAGGGTTAGGGCTTTAAAAAACAAAGCCATCGCAAAAGTAAACATTCTTTTCAAAATGTCACTGACTGACTCTTTGTACCCACCAGGGGACATCACACAAGCGATAAACACCCGATGACACAATGTGTCACCATGTGGATGAGGATCACCGTGGAGAGGTCCCAGAACCGCGTTCCGCCTTTATGCCATATTTATGGCCTGCCTATATTGCGGCCGGCCCTGGCAAGAGCCAGAGTTAGGGCTTCAATAACGAAAAAATTCATCCTAAACACAGGGCCGAGAAGTGTATGTAGTACAAATGGTCACTGTGTTTTCCGAGGGTGGAGGGTTTACT